AAAGATGATTTATTTATATATTTACATTCAATAACAATTATATAATACTTAAATTAGCAAACCCACAACATGCAGAATTTAGCTGTTATTAAAAAAAAAAACTTAATAAAAAGTATTTCTGTTTATCAAAAAGGTTTTTAAAATTATTAAAAATTTTTTTAATAACAGAAAGAGATTTTCTTACCTAAATTTTCTTCATATTCTGCAAGTTCTAAAAAACCCGTGTTAAAGTCATTCTCTTCCAAATCAACTTTTTTCTTTTTTGGATTTTGGCGTTAAATGATTGGAGATAATGGTGGTGAAGCTGGTAGCTCTATTAATAACAACTAATGAGTAATAAAGTCCAGTTATACTTCTTTGATTTTTGACTGCTGACTAGATTTACTACACCCCCTGCTTATCTGCTTTCCACATGGAATGCAAATAGCTATAGAATCACAGTTATCACTAACTTTAAAAGGTTTCCAAATAAAACTCACCATTTTGAAGGGTTATTACGGTAACATTTGTCTTAATGTAATGTTTATCTTACATTATCCGTATCATAATTGTTAAACATCCGGGTATTCGATATCCGGCCGGATAATTGATAAATGCTATCCGGGACACCTCTACTCATAGCGCCTCCATGTTTAATGGCCGTAAAATACGGCCATTAAATACGGCTTTAAAATATGATACGGTCTTTGAATAAGATAGAAACTATGATTTAATAAAAAAAAATTGCTTTTAATGTTTTCGATTGGAACCTTGATGTTTTTGAAATAAAATTTATCAACTTAAAAATAAACTTATAGTAATAAAAAAAATAGTAATAAAAAAAAAACAGGCTGAGATTATATATATACCTGTATATATATTGTCGGTAATTATTATTAAATTATTTAATTGCGAATATAATAACAGAATTTTTAATAAATTAATTTTTAAATACTGATATTTTACTATTTTACTCGTGTTGCAACCATTAATGATTGTCTAAAGCAAATACGATAAATGTTTTTCAAGGAAAACTGGTTCTGTAGCATTCTAGAGAATAATTCTTATTTTATTTTTTTAAAGTATGGCAAAAGTATTTAACATCATTGTTGTCTGCTACAACTTTCATTTGCATGTAATGAGTTTAATGTCCATATCTAAAGATGCGTAAAAATAGTACTTTAAACTCGCTCATAAAATCTTATAACTATAAAGTTAAGTTTAATTTAAATAAACAAAATAGTCAATGTATCAATGCATTTAACCCATCAAATTAAATTAGGGGAAAGGCGCCTATGATGGCATACCGGTCATATTTTTTCATAAAAATTGTTTATGGTGAAAAAGTGATTAGACAAACTTATCCATGCTGACTTTATATTAGTTTTATTAAAAATACGTCTCTCATGCACAAATATTGCTTTTATAATCAACAAAAATCGATTTTGGGATGTGCTGTTGTATTTTTAATCCCATTAAGTATTTAAGTTTGTGATTTTATTATTAACTGTGCAGTAATAAAATTTTAATGCACTTTATTTCCAAGTTTTGTGCATTTAGTGGAATACTTATTTTAATTTTATCTATTGAACAAGGCAGACATAGCTTGTTTAAATGAAAATGATGACTTCTTCCTATGATGGCATACACGAGTTAGGTGTGTTGCAATATTGACAAGTTGAAAAAACTTTTTTTTTTATAAAACGACATATTTTTTAGTCAAGTAAAAAGGAATTTTTACTTCACATAAAATTTTTGATTCAAAAAACAAATAAAACGCAGTATCATTTATGCGCATGCGCAAAATCTTTCACTGCGGCTGTGTAGCACGAAAGAGTTAATTGTGATTAGCGAAAAAAAAAGGATGATTGCGCGTAACTTCTGGCATTTCTGAGAGAAGATTCTAGGGTCAAATCAAATCCTCAAGTTACTCTTGATGCTAACCAGCCCCATTTTCCCCTATGCCATAATAGGAGCAGTAGATTTCCTATGATGGCATACTTGTGCTTTTTTTAAAATAAAAATAACTAATAAAAAAATAAAACTAATAAAAACTCCTAAGGTTATTATTGTTCTACATGTAACAAAGAATGCATCCATATCAAAACTTTTGTTTTTGGTCTTTAGCATGCTGAATAATGAAGCTTTAAACTTAAGTATGCCATCATAGGCGCCTTTCCCCTACATCTTAAGAATTAAAATTTCTTTGTTAAAAAAAAAGAAGTTATTTTACATTTAATGTCCCAAAGTTCACTTGGAAAATGATTTCAGTTTTTTTTCTTAATAATATTCCAAGAAGCGGTTGAAGAAGGACTGCTTTTATATCATTAACATTCACACTACGAATATCATTAAATCTAGGTTTGATATGTTTAGAAGTATCCTTATTCTGGCATTTTAGGAAGCTGACCTCTTGATCAAAACCTTAATCTATTTATTTCTGCACTATGTCTACATAATAAGAAATTATGGTTTTACAACAAACCTTACAAAGAACATAATCACTGACATTCACATTTTAAATAACGTCAAAAGAAACAGTTTCCGATTCAAACTCTAGGGAGTAGCAGTTAGCAGAAACATTTTTTTGACATCTACATCAAGGTACTTGATTTACGTAATATTTTTTACTTTACTTACATTGAATTTTTTTATCTATGATTTTGAAAGGAAAATTTTTTATATTTTTTTGTTACTTACTACTTCATCTCTTATTCTTAAAATCTTTGTTGTTGATGTGGCTGTTATACACTTTCCCTTTTTACTTCACGTCTTAAAATCTTACATAAAAATTTCAAAATATACATTAAACTATTTAAACTGTAATACAAGAAAATTATTTTCATCAATTGCATTACTTTATAAAGTTTATGTGTTAACTATAGAATTTAAAGAAAAACCTGAACTAGGAATATTTAGTTTAAATTACCTTTGATAAACTTGTACAATCTCAGGAGAAATACGGTGGAGTTTTCTTTTACTGTTTCATTTTGTACATCTAAACCTGAGATATCTGAAAGAGTAGGACTTGTAATCTCTTTCTCACACAAACCTTCATTGCATGAACGTATATTTTTGCCCGTTGCAAATATGTACGTTTAAGCCATATCTTTTAAGATATTCGGAACAAAGTAAAACTATTTGGGCTTTGTTGTTCGAATTTGAAATAAATTGGATTAGATTGGTAATTGATAATTTTTTCTTACGTGAATATTTTGTGAAGAAATAATTTTCGTTCGGTAAACGTGTTCGCGAGATTTTATTAATATATAAGATATAATATTATAACCATCAAATATAATATTAAAAGTGACATTTAGTATTATATTTGATGGTTTTAATAATTTTTAATGCATATATACATATATATATATATATATATATATATATATATATATATATATATATATATATATATATATATATATATATATATATATATATATATATATATATATATATACATATATATTATATATATATATATATATATATATATATATGCATATATATGTAATATGTATATACATATACGCATATATATATAAGATATATATGCATATAATATATATATAAATATATGTATATATATATGTATATATACATATATTTATACATATACATATATGCATATATATATATATACATATATATATATATATATATATATATATATATATATATATATATATATATATATATATATATATATATATGTATGTATATATATATATATATATATATATATATATATACATATATATATATATATGTATGTATATATATGCATATATATGTATGTATTTATATGCATATATATGTAATATATATACATATATGCATATATATATAATATATATATATATATATATATATTATATATATATATATATATATATATATATATATATATATATATATATATATAATAAAAATATATATATATAAATACATATATATATGTATATATATATATATATATATATATATATATATATATATATATATATATATATATATATATATATATATATATATATATATATATATATATATATATATATATATATATATATATTTATTTTTATATAAATATTAAAATTTGGTCTAATAAAATATTTTTCTCTCCATTTAGAATATGCTTCTTTAATCGAGTATCCATGATAAAAATTTAAAACAAATAGAACGAGTTCTGAGGAGAGTAACAAAACTTCAAATACAATAATAAAATAAAATCTGAGGCGATGATTTACAACAAGGAAAAACTACAAGGAAAAACTTTGATGATTTACAACAAGGAAAAACTTGAAATGCAAAAAAAACCTGATGTTTTAAAACTATCATCATTAGAAAAGAGGCGTCATCATGGCGACATATTCAGTTTTTTAAATTTTACAAAAATATAAGCAAAATTGATTGGCATCATCCAAATGAAAGACACTTACTAAAAATGTCTCACGGACTCGAAGAAGAAAATAATGACCTTCCTAAAAGGTGTATCCAGCACAGCAACAAACAAATTTTTATTACCCAATGAACAAATAACATGTGTAATGACCTGCCTCAAGAAATAATTATTGATTGTGTATTCAATGCTTTAAAAAACTTTAAATTTAAGGCTGTTGAATCATCGGTAACTTTTTAGGCATAAAGTTGAATGAAAATTTACAATATAACTTTCAAAAGAACCCTATTTAGAGCTAACCTAATTCTTAATTTTCTCAACAAGGTAAATACGCTGCTTTGATTTAAAGTTACTTATCACGCAAAATTAAAAAAAAATTATAGTAAAGAAAACATGTATCGAACGGTATTTGAAGTCAGGGGTCTTAAAACAGGTATTGTGAACTTTAATTCTCTCACTTTTAAAAGTGTAGGGGTTTTTGTATTGTATACCCTTACCCTCTGTTTTATTCTGTAAAATTATTGTTTTAAAATGTTTTACCTTGTTTTAAGTCACGTCTTCAAGCCACTAAAGAGCAATTAAAGTTTTGAAATAATAATTTTATATATACACATACCATATGATAAAACATTGAAAAAATGTTGCGCGTTGTGTTGGACGGTCAACGTAATTTTTAAATCATTTTGGTAACAAATGCGACGTCTCCAACAACTAAAAAACAACGTTATATTTTAATTCAATATTGTGTAATATTTTACGTTGGCTCAACGTTGTATTTTAAACTGATTTAACGTTATATTTTACGCTTGCCTAACTTTATATTTAATTTTTATCGGAATTAATTTTGTTATATATTTTATTATTATTATTATTATTGCTATTATTATTATTATTATTATTATTATTATTATTATTATTATTATTATTATTATATATATATGTATATATATATATATATATATATATATATATATATATATATATATATATATATATATATATATATATATATATATATATATATATATATATATATGTATATATATATATATATATATATATATATATATATATATATATATATATATATATATATATATATATATATATATATATATATATATATATATATATATATATATATATATATATATATATATATATATATATATATATATATATATATATATATATATATATATATATATATATATATATATATATATATATATATATATATGAAGAGTTTATTTTCAAAACGCGGTAAACGCCATTTTAAAAATTTTTTAGAAATTGTGTGGTATAGTTTTAGTTTATAAGGACCTAGCAGACATTGTGTCCGAATATATGCTAAACGAAGTATAACCCAATATTTTTTTACTTCTAAAAAACATTTATTTTCAAAACGCGGTATAAAATTTTTTGTTTGTTTTCAAAATGCGGTATTTAATTTTGACCAATCCGTGGCAAATGTATATTACTTCTGCGCAAGCGCAAATATTTTAAAGTTGCGTTAAAAAAATGGTAGATTGCGATGGACAAGATTAATGCGTTAACTAATATATTATTTCACATAGAAAAAAAGATATGATGTGTGAAACAAAAGAAAAGAAAACCATTTCTTAATTCTAGTGTTCGTTTAAACTACCATGCTTTGTTTGTTTAACTGAACGAATTATGGAATAATGATAGAAAATATATTAAAAAGGCAACTTAAATTAATTAGTTTAAATATATTTGTTACATGTTTTTTAATGGAAAGCATTCAATAATAATACTTCCTTTTTATTTGTTAAACCGACAATTGCTTTGTTGCAAATAAAATGAGGCTATTGCAGTCTTTCATTTTTAATATTTTATTTCGTTCAAAAATATAACGATGACTTTTAGGTTATATTAATTGTCCATTAATTCTATGGAGACTTAAAAATAGTGATCATCATTGTTACAACTACAAAACACTAAAAAAATATTATTGTTTATTGTCCATATTTAACTCTCCGAAACAAATATAAATTTACAATTGCGAATTGTGAAATGTAATAGTTTACATTACTTTAATAAAACATTGTTTACATTCACATTATCAATAAAATATAATGACCAAACATTAAATACACATATTTGTTCAATATATTAACTAAAATTAATCATTAAAACTTATTCAGGTCTTTTAAAGTTTAAAAACTTTCCATAACATCTTTATAAAATGGATATACCGCATTTTGCTAACAAGCTTTAATTGGATATACAGTATTTTGAAAATAAATGCAAACTTATTGACAAAAAAAATAAATTTTTTTATTTAATAATATTTTATTTATTAACATTATATAATATACTTTATGTATATATACATTAAGAAACAATAATTTTTCCAAATATACGAGACATGTTGGTGTGGCGAAAAAAGTCAATTATCTCAATACCACAAAAATGGATATACCGCATTTTGAAAATACACTCTTCATATATATACATATATGCAAATATAGCAATATTTGCATTAGTGGTGTAAAAAAAAATCTGGTATTCTTTTCAAAATGCAATAAACAAATTTTTTTGACCATTGTTTATGATATAAAAAGAAAGATAGAAAAAACACAACCTATCATAATTTCATAAAGGGACAAAGAAAATTGTTCACACTACGTGCACCAGGTTTAAAAATTGTACATCAAGTGATAAGTAAAATGCTCGATAAGTATTTCGATGACCATTTGAATTCGTTTAATCTCTAAATTGAAATGTGTTACTTGACAAGGCTTAGCTATTCAACGGAATGATGAAATTGAAGGCAATTTTATTCAGCTACTTTAAATGAGGATTGAAGACAATGTTGACTGGTTTGGTTTAAAAAAATACAATGTGATATACTCGATAAGGATGAAAACAAACAATTTTAATTGATCCTTGTCCAACTCGTTTTCTCGTGAGGACCAAATCATATTGTTCAATTCTGATAAATTTTCAAGTGATTGTTTCAAAGCTGACGTTTAACTCTTTCTTGATTTGATGATAATACTCTGAACAATCACAAATGGGGCGTGATGAAATATTACCAAGCTCAGTATTGCAAGGTGCTTGACGTCATTGAAAATCAATTAAATCAACGGTTTCCAGATTGTTTATCAATCGCTTTAGAAAAGCGATTATTGTCCACTTCAAATGGCGATACAGACATAAAATTTTTAAAAGCTTAGAAATTATACAATTTTTCTATAAAAACGATATAATTGGCGATAAATTAAAAACTGAACTTTTTCTGTTTAAGTTTATTAAGGAAACTTATAATATTATGGTAGAGAGGGGCATATCGGGACAGTTATGCCTGAAGGGGCATAACGGAACAGTTATGCCTGAAACCTTTTGAGTTATATCTAAGTCAAAAAAAAAAAATTTTTCAAAAATTGTTGTTGATAAAACATTTTATATTATTGCGCTTTATTATTGCAAAAAAACTTTAATTTTAGAAATACCAAAATGCATTAAAAGTACCAAAATGCATCAGTAAGTTTGCGAGAAACAAAATTTGCGTATTTTCTTAAGTGATACAAAGACAAAAGATTTATCTTGAACTATTAAAAATTTGCTTTATTTATAAAACGTTTTTATTTTTTAGACAGTATTTTTTATCTTCTTTTAGAATCTGGTTTTAAAAAAATATTTGAAAATGAAATTTTAGAAAAGTATTAATTTTAGTAAAATGACTTTTATGGGGCATTTCGCGACAACATATCGAGACAACAAGTTATTTATATAATTGAATATGTTACTACCATTTCGTGATATTGTTTACAGTTTGATGATTTTATCTAAAATAATATTTTTCTTCTATCTAAAATCTAAAATATTATTTTTCTTATTTAGAAAAGCAATTTTAGTAATAAATTCAAAGAAATTCTTAATTTTAGACTATAGATAAGCCTTCATTTTTTATCATTTTGAAAACTTTACAATTGACGAATAACTCTTGCTTTATAACTATCCCGTTTTGCCCCACCTACTTGCAAAATGTAAAAATTTTGCTAGCCTAGAGTTTCATTACTTTGGTTGTCGTAATTAATTTTAAGAAATTTTTTTTTGTTCTTTTATTTTCTTATATCAATGAATTTTAGGAAATTTATAAAAAACAGTGTAAACTATGATTAGATTATCAGCAACTAGTATTTGGTTCTTAAGTGTCCTTATATGCCCCGCTCTATCCTATATGTAAAATTAACATTAAATAGGTAACATCAATCACAATTTTAATTGATATATTGAACGATACTAAAGAAGTCGCAATAATGTATTCTAAAATTGACAATTTGCACAGCCAAGCAATCTTTCTCTCGTCTAAGAATGTTGAAGTCTGTAGTCGATTGACTTCGATCCAAAAGCGATTGAGTCGAGGTCAATCGAATTAGAATTTTTTACTTTAGAAAACTTTAAAATATTTTTACATTTTATATACTCTTTTAATTTTAGTCTGTGTGAGTTTGAAATAATATGACGTTAAACTTTTATTGAAATAAGTTTTTATTTGATATTTTTATATTTGATATTTTTATTTTGATATTGTACTTTATTGAAAATAAAGTATCAAATAAAAAAGGTTGTCTTTTAAGATTAACTGAAAATTAAAACTAGTCTAAAGAAATTTGCAAAATATTTTTAGCCCCCATTTATTATTTCCTTTCCTATTTGAATTCTATTTTAGTAAAATCTGTCATAAATACTCTAAAAGATTCTCAGTGAACAACTTTATTTTTCCAAAATAAAATTTGAACTTATATTTAGGAAGAACAAAGTTGTTTGTGTGGAACAATAAAGTGTTGTGCATAATACTTAAAACAAGTCATACCCAATTATGCATCGTAGACCGTATTTATAGAAAAAATTTTCAAATTTTGAAAATAAATAAAAAATACTGTACATCAATTTAAAAACTAACTTTCACCTTCTTCTTACTTATACACTGCGACCATTTTCTATAGACGCATGTAGAATTTAGCGGATTTACAGTGTTACAGTGGTAATAAAATTGTTCTAACGGTACTTTTGAATAACTTTATGTAAGAAAACAATGATCCATTATGCATCTGATTTGTCTTGGTTGTATTAAAATAATAAAATTTTTAATATTCGCGTGGAAATTTTCTATAAACAAATTTGCGTAAAAAGTTTTTACGCAAATTTGTTCTATTCTGTAATATTTTTTATTTTGAGAGTCGAAATTAAGTTGAATTTAACCAAATGCCGAAAGGAAAGGTTCTTACCGATATTGAAAAAGGTCAAATATTGGCTTTTCGTCAAAAAAAATTCCAAATCGAGAAATTGCTAGAAGATTGAAGAAATCAAATCACGTTATCCGTAATTTCTTGAAAAATCCAACAGATTATAGAACAATCAAAAGGAAACCAAAGAAATCTAAGGTTCAGCCGTCAAAAACGCAGAATTGTTCAACTCGCATTGTCAAATTTCATCAAAATTCATCAAAAAAATTGAAATTGAAATTTGCAATTGAAAATAATTAAGTCAGATTTGGGTTTAAATGTTTGCAAGAAGATGATTAGGAAAGTTCTTAAAGACAGCCCACACATTGTACGATCAAAAATGAATAAAAGTTAAATTAAGCATTTACGTCTTGCAAAATGAATACATTGATGTGCTAAAATCTTGCGTGATTCCATTTAAAAACAAATATCGACGCAAAAAGTTTGTTTTTC